ACAACCATTTAGCCTAAAAAGATGCAGCCAAAATGATCTTTCTAGATGGTCCATCTCTAAATTATCCCTTTCATTTTTTTTCTATCAGCTTCTGGATCTCATACATCAGATTAACACCTCCAAAACCTCATACAACTCAACTGTTCACTACTGTTGGATCTCTTTGCCTTTTGTATTTCAGTGGCAACGCATGCCTTAAGGCCATCTATCTATTTTTCTCCCATGTTCTTACAAATCATTGAAGGGCATATGGAGTGCCTTTTTGGAGCTCTTCCAAAGGCTGAATGACTGCCTTCAACTGAGTTCAAGCTCAGTTTTAGAATTGTGGACTTCAAAGCTCTACATGCTTTGAAATGACTGCAAGTAGCAGGTACAGATGTGCCAAGCTAAAAAATAATTGATTAATCAGTACAGAAATGTAATTTACCTCTGCAAGTCCTCAGAAGCTTCTGCAGTCTTGTTGGCATCTTATCCAGCAGCACAAAATGAATTTTTTTCCTATGATTCTGAAGAGGAATACCAGCATGAAACTGTGATGAAAGGTATGGGGGTAGAAGCCTACTAAAAGTCCTCTAAATAATATGGAAAGACGTATTTGCTTAAACCCACATACACAGGAAACATATGTGAGAGTTTGTTTGAAAGTAAGAAGTTTAAAGGAGTTTCATGCATTCATAACCACTGATGGATACTGTCCTTCACCCATTATGTTTCCCAAAGACTAGCTCTCAATGGCCCTTCCATTAACTCACTAGTGTCTTACAGAACAAGACTCTACTGCAACACAGCCTCTGACAGAACAGCACCTTTGATGTTTTGACAAACTCAGAGACCAGTTTTTTTTCTGGGCTGCACTTTGACAGAAGAAATGCACTTACAATGCAATTTTGAAGGGATAGAATTCAGTGAAACAATTTATTTCAGAACAGGGCCATGCCTCACTCCTTCTCGAGAGCTATTCTCATGCTATATTTCAGTTGTCAACTATTTTGTCTGCTCAAAGAAAAAATAAGAAAGCATTTGGTCAATAATAGGGAATGTGCTCTTTAAAAAAACCTTGCGGGCCATTTTATCAAAACTGCAGAAATGACAAGCAGAACAAGATGATATCTAGTCTTTGGGTAAAGAATGAAAAATTCTAACCCAGGAGAGCATTGCTGAGAAAGGTGGTCAAGTGAGAACAGGAGGCTTGGGATGGGAAATGTAATCACAAGAACTTGTCATTAAATCAGGAATGGGGGGCTGAAGAATGTATGCAAGAGCTGCAGGAGAGTTTCTGGCTACCAAGAGTCAAAGGACAATTCCTGTTTCATGCTCTATTCCCACCATGAATTGCAGGTAGGCAGGTGAACATGGAGTGCTCCCTGTGTAAGCCATCATTTTCATCTGTACATACATAATACACAGCAGTGAATTCCTGGCCTTATTAGGCCTTCCACATACCCCACTTCACATCCCAAAAGGAGCTTTGTGTCAGGAGGCTATTCAAAGGCATCAGTAAGACACTTAGTATTGTTTCCTTCTCTCTAGTGATGGTTTGTTATGACAAGAGTATTGGCTGCTGGAATTAGTTTGCTCTGAAAAAGCCTTCATGAGTACCAGGCAATAAAATAATATATTTAACTGGAATCTGAAGTGCATCTTACTGAGATAACTTTTTCACAAGTGGGAACAAAACAAAGACTCCAGTATTGGTATTGCTGATTAACATCAAGAAAGCTTGGGCCTGTACAACACTCATTTTTCCCAAAGACCTCCAACCTTGAAAAGCCAAATTTCCAGGAGGCCTTGGTTCTTGTTAGGGCTCATCAAGCTCCTAGGCTTTCACAAAGGAAGCAAAAATGCAGAAGGCTGGAAAGATGGGTGGGAGCCGCAGGAGAATGAGCATCATGGTTATCTGATCATTTGGCTAGAAGAAGTTTATTTAAATGTCTCAATAGCTGCTCACACTTCAGGAGAACATTTGACTGTTCCTGAGTAAGAAGAGGAAGAAAGAAATATTTTTGCTGGTTAGGAATACGTATTTTAGTATAACATATTTTACATACCATGAAAATACCATGGGAAAATTCCATGCTAGATTGTAACAGGCTGCCCAGGGAAGTAGTAGAGGTGTTTAAGAAATGTGTGGATGTGGCACTGAGGGGCATGGTCAGTGGGCACGATGAACATGGGTCAATGGTTGGACCGGACAATGTTAGTGACCTTTTCCAACCTTAATGATTCTATGATTATTACTGATAATTCATGGTGTTTTTCTGTGAGATAGTACATTATGGTAGACATTTGTCAGTCTACAATAGGAACCAAACTCAGTGACGGACTGTTTTGAAAATTATGTTGTGATGAGCTTAGCAGGACCCAAAAACTATAATGAGGAAGTTTTAACAGGGAATGCAGAGAAGATACAGGCATCTAGCAGAGTTTCTGAAACAAATTTGCTTGTTATTGAGCACTTTAATTAGAGATCATAATTGACAAGATAAAGTCTCTACCTTCCTTAATTTCCAAATCATTTTTTGCACTGAAGAGAAAGGCATTTCTGTGGAGTGCCTGCATCATTTTTCTGCTGCTACATTTGGCACATGCAGTGTTAGCTTGGATCATTTTTAAAAGTCATGCAAGAGATAATATAAGAATGCTTTGCTCTTAATTGAAACTGTAAACGACAGTGAAACATTTAGAGCTCTAAAAACATAAAAGATGGGAAAAAATAAATCCATTCATGTTGTGTAAGATAAAAATAATCTCTAACCTGATATGTAAGTTAAAGTATTTGTCAGGGTGTAAAGCACATTAGAAGGATGTAAAGAGTGAATTGCAGTGCATAACATCTCAACAGAGATGTACCTGGAAGAAAAGCGGGGTCAAGTGTGCACCTTAGCTGAACCTCTCAAGCTTGAACTCTCCAGTCAAGGAAAGAATAGTAATCAAAATCCTCTTTGCTGCTTTTTAATAGGAATGTGAGCAATGGAAGAGGCCAAAATCCCAGGAGACTCCCTCTAGCAGACACGGAAGTTATCTGGATAAAGAACAGGCAAACGTGCTTCAGTGGGGCACAGAACTGCAGGCCAGGGAAATGGAGCAGAGGTAGTGCTGCATGTCCACCCACCTCTGCTACCCTTGTCACCCTCTGGATGTGGCAACCTGCGCTGCAAGTAATTGGAGAATCACTGAATAAGTTGAGCTGGAAGAGATCTTAGAGCCCATCCAATTCTAACCCCCACTCCCTCCATGGGCTGGGCTGCCCCCACAAGCTCAGACTGCCCAGAGCCCATCCAACCTGGCCTTGAGCATCTCCAAGGAGGAAGCAACCACAGCTTTGCCACCCTCTGAGTAAACAATATCTTCCTAAATATTTATTTCACTCTACTTTCCCTCACCTTGCCCAGAACTTCCCATATTACTTGCAGTCAGCATTTGGCCCATCCTTCCTGAAACGCTGGATGTCAGGAGGTCTGCCTCGTGCAACTCCCATCCTCTCTAGGACTGAACAAAGAGCCTGTGTTCACTGAAGCATGTCATTTGTATTTTGTGGTAAGCATGCAAGTTGGGTTTTGACCACTCCACCCAAATGAAGCACAGAGGTTTCCAGTTGTACAGGTATTTCCTTTCTCTCTCTCTCTCTCTCTCTCTCTTTTTTTTATTATTATTATTATTATTTTTTCTGTGAAAACATGAGTCTCTGGGGTTTTGAGGCAAACCGATCAATTGCCACACATTGGCTAGAAAGGATTTTGAATCACAGCAAACCTTTGCTGACCCTGGGTTGAATTTCCAGTTTGCAATAAAATCCGTGCGTTTCCACTGGCTTCGGGTTCTGTTGTGAACATTATATAGCATCTCTAATTACAAGCTGCTGCCTCAAAACAAACGAACAAACAAACAAACAAAAAAGTAATAAAAAAATTAGTTAAAAAAAATTTGGAGGCAATTGTACTTAATCAAACAAAAAAAATCCCAGCACTGGCCCTTGTATATGTTATTCCAAATGCTTTTGAGGGTCCTAAGGTCCAAAAGCATGCAGACTCGTGCTGCTTTGACGGAATGCAGTCCTTGCTGCATGGCACATCTCAGGTCTGGGGCTACCCAGGTCCTACGCGGTGCTCGCCGTCCTGTATCTGCACACAGAGCTGGCGAAAAGGTCAGGTTTTATTACATGCAGAAATAATGGTGCAAATGACAACAATACTGTTTATTACAATTTCAATTCCGATCAATGAGACTTCACCGGCACCACGAGCTTGACGAGTGTTGCCAAAGAGAAAGGAGGGGAAAAAAAAAAAATCCCGTCTCGAAGACACAGCCCGCGCGGGGCACGGCCAGAGCGCAGCGCTCGCAGCCCGATCCACGACGCGGTTTTAGAACCAGGAGCACCGAACGAAGCACAACCTGCTCTGCCGGACTTTCCCTTTGCAAACAGTGCCCGGGACCTCCCAGACACGCCGCCCCTACCCCGGTCCCCACGCCCCGCCAGCTCCTGCCTTCCCCCGAAGCTGTGCCCGCCCGGGGGGCTGCCAGAGCGGTGCCCAGAAGCGCCGTGCCGAGAGGAGCCGAGCTGAGCCGCGTCGAGCTGCTCGGAAACACGCAGAGCCAGGCAGTGCCGTGCCGAGCCTGGCAGCGCCTCGCTGAGCCGTGCCGTGCTTAGTCGTGCCGAGGCGAGCCAGGCAGTGCCGTGCCGTGCCGAGGCGAGCCGGCGCTGCCTCCACGCCTGCAGCAGGAGGCGCTGCCGGGCGCCGCTACGCCCGCGCCGGGGCCGCGGGCCGGAGTCCCACATTCCCTGTGCCAAGTGCCGGGGAGCGGGGGTTGGACGCGCGCTCGGCTCCTCCCTCCCGCCCCGCTCTCCCGGCAGCAAAGTAACTCCGGAGGACGAGAGGAGCCGGTGCTGCCGCGGTGCTGCGCCCGTCGCGCCGCAGACGGCTGCCCCGGCGGGCGGGCGGGCGGCCCTGGGCGCGGGGCTTTCCCGGGCGGGAGGGCTGGGCGAGGCGAGCTCCGCCCGCCGCCGCGGGCCGGGGCAGCCCCGGCCTCTTTGGGAAACTTCTCGGCAAGTCGGCATGGGCAGGGGGGCCGGCGCCGCGGCCTCACTGCCGCTGCTGGCGGCGCTCGCCCTGCTGCTGGCCGGAGGCTCGCCCGCTCTGCCGGGAGCGGCCCGCGCTCAGCTCTCCGCAGGTGAGTGAGCGAGCGAGCGGGGCCAGGTGAGGGCGGGACGGGGCGGCGGCCGCGGACGTCTGCCGGACCCGGGGTGCGGGGTGCCCGTTTCGTCTCCTGTTCCCGGGTTTCGCGGCGGGCGCGGGCGCCTCGCGGAGTCCCCTTCTTCCTCTCCGCCTCCCTCCGCCGCGGCCGCCTCCCTCGCTCCTTCCCTCCCTCCCAGGTGGCGTCGGTGCTCGCGGAGCGCCGCTTCCCCGCCGAAACTTTTCCCGGCGCTTCGCAGCGCCCCGCGTCGCTGCCGCCCGCTGCCCCCTTCCTATAAAAAGAAAAGAAAAAAAAAAAAAAAAAAAAAAAAGAAAAGAGCAAGAAGGGGGAGGGAAGGCAGCACGCGGGGCCGGCGTCTGTTTTGTTTAAAGCCGCCAACGTTTCGCCCTTTTCTCTCATCCGCCGCGGGGCTTTGCGGGAGAAAAGCCGCCGGGAGCGGGCGGTGGGCGCTCGAGGAGGGGGCAGAGGGTCGTGCTCTGAGCAATGCTTCCTAGCTGTGCTCCGAGCCCCTCCGCTGCCGTTGGGTGGGTTCCTCGGTTCGCTCCGGATGGAGCTGTGGTGCGACCGTGGGTTTTGTTCGTGGTGCGAAGTGCGGCGGTCTGGATGAACTCCGCGTTTCGTTATTATTTTTCACAGTACTTGCACCGGGTGTATCAGTTAGCCAAGTATCAGAAACCTGTTAATGCAGGACACTGAATTGAAAACTTGAGCTCGAAAGCTGCCACTAATAAAAATAAATGCGCTCCTGAGGCTTGAAGTGCAGCTTTTGTAAGGGCTTTNNNTTTTTCCCCCCCCCCCCCCCCCCGGTGCTATCAATTAATTTTTAATTGAGAAGTTTGAGATGTGTCATTGTCAATTAAGAACAGTGCTAAAGCACTAAGATAAGTGATGCTGCTGCAAACAGATTACATCCCTCCTGCGTGGCTGCCTTGGGTGCCCATAATTTAATGTCTGCGTATCAGAACTGTACGGTTACGTAAGCACCTACAGAGCCTTCTGCCACAGAAGGGAGCTTCACCGTCTGTGGGTCCACTGTGTTTTAGGAACGGCTAAACTGAAAGATGTCGAGATATACAACATCTCTTCATTCAAAATACTCTGCTGTACTGTAATTTGTGACACTGGTGTTAATTCTTACATGAAGATTTTCCTACAAGCTTCTTGAGTGGCAGAAGAAGAGTGGGAAGTTCTGATAACTTACGTGCTCTTATGCAGAGAATGTAGCATGTATAGCCTTTATTGGAGCCGAGAGTACAAGAAAGCAGCTTTGTACCTTGGGGTATGCATTAAGTAAGCTGAGAGGAATGCTTGGAGTTGCTCTGACCAGAGTAGGTGAAGCTTGTCAAAGAGTTGGACAATCGTATCTAGGAAACATGAGATACAGTTTTTGTGCAGCTTGTCAGCAGCTACAGACTGGTTTCTATTGGCAAGCATCAAAAATACTGATGTGTTGTGCTGTCAGAGGGTTATTAATTCCAGACTAGGTCAGACTTCCTTGAAGGTTTGGAGAAGTGGCTTTGTCAGGAGTCGATGCTTGCACTGTGTTCAGTTGAAGTGAGGTGTGATGCTCTGACACTGATTAGATACATTCAGTGTCCTCATGTAGAGCTGTGCTCTGCTGAATGCTTACTTATGATTATTCTTTGTTTGAAGGCTCTGGATCTAATAATCACGACCAAGATAGTTTTTGTTTTATGTTTTAACCAAGTCCCTGAAGCACTTTGTTCATTTTGTTTTGTTATTTTTGACTGTTGGTTAGACATCATCACCCCCCCCGCTGTCAGTGGATGCAGGACACAAAGGTTGGGGTTTGTGTGTCCGTTTCAGTGAGGGCCCCGCTGCAGCCTATAAAGATTCCTACACACAGAGCATAGGAGTGTCTGTTTCTCTTGTAGTGATCTGTCTTTTAGCAGGAGTGATGCACCTTCCTTCCACTGTCTCCCTGCTTTCCCACCTTAACGTAACAGCATCTGGATTTCCATGTCTGCTGACCTTGTCTCACTTTCAGCTTCCTTTGTATTAGTATTCTTACTATCTGAATTGCAACAATTTAAAATGGTGCTAATTTTTCATGTTAATTAATGAAGATATTAATTCTGTCTGGACCTTTCACAGATTTTTCTCTCACTGTCATTTGACTTTTATTTCCATTTTATGATGCTTTGCACCACTGTTGAATGGTGAACGTCAGCCAGATCCGGAATTCCTTGTATAAATTGGTGTATTTATTCAGGGTCTGATCAAATGCCAGAGAACAAAGTTGGCCTTCAGGAGCGTGCGCATGCTGGAGGTTGGTTAGCTGCTCTCCCTCCTAACAGATTCCATGAAAGCAAAGCAGAAGGCGAGAGGAGGAGCGGTGGCAAGTTAGGAGAAGGAACAAGATGCATCTTGCAATTTTTGAGACAGCAACAAATTACACTTGTGTGCTACCTCCACCCCCTTTGCACGGAGTTGAAACACCATCTTTCCTCCCGGGGTTCAAAAGGGAAAAGCAGACAGCTTCCCTCTGCCCCTCACTCCCCCCCAGAGCCTGACCATAACCCACAGTGTTGTATTTTCCTGCTTTCTGTATATTGTTGCTTTACACTGCTTCTTTCCTGACCCCTCAACTTGGTTGTGTGCCTGTCAGAATCTAGGCCAAAATGTTTTGGCAGCGTGCACTTTGTTGAAGTCTGGCTATTCCTTATATAGCACCTTCTTTCATCTGTGACTCCTACAGTTCGATAAAGAACAAGTTCAGCTTGTTTTCACAACTTGAGAATTTTGAACTTTTTTTTTTTAATAGTATTTTTAGCTATTTGAGTGTTTTCAATTTTGGGAGGGGAAATATATTTTCAGCTTTTTTTTTTTTTTTTTTAAATGCTGCCTGCTTGTCAGTGCATTGCATTGCTTCAGACAGTATCTGTGAAAGTGTGTGGGTTTATTTTTAATATTAAACAAAAGATCCAAGGATAGAAGTTCTAAAAAAGAGTCAGCCTACCTGGAGTTATCTAAATGTCGTGTTTCAGACCATAGGGGTAATGAAGGATAAAAAAGAGGTTTGTATGTTTTGTAAGTTCAAGCCCTTGATTTAAGTAGTTGTTCTTCATATTTCCTCATTCAGAGTACTAACAAATGAACAGACAAGTGTAAATATTTCTCAATTAGTAATACACACTTTTTTTTCCCACTGATATTGTAGACTATTTCTCCCAAAGACAGAACATAACTAAGTTCAGAATTTGATATTATGAAGCAGAAAATATTATTTTTTATAAGGATTTTGTGGTTTAATATATTTACACACAGAAACATGCATACCAAATCACAGTAAGTGCATCTATTTTTTTATATTTGTAATCATGTAGAATAAGAAATTAAAGATGCATTATAATTGTTTAAAAATTCTTAAGTGGTTAAACTCAAATTAACCTTTTGCTGCCAGAACAACAAAAGTCACTTCAGTCATGCTTTATTTTTTGGATGTGCTACAATTTGCATATGATACACAGGACACACTCATGCAGGGGGACGTGTATGTGTAAGAGACTTCTTAGTGGCTTTTTTTCCACCAAGCTGTTGAAATGTATTGACAAATTACATAGACGATGAGTGGAATTAAAAGTGATTTTCTCACTTCCACCCCCTCCTCCCCAAATTTTTTACTTTCATTTGCGTGTTCATCTCTCTTCCATGAGGGACCACTTTCTCACCTCTATTACAAATACAAAGTGTATATTAATTTTTGAAGTTGGAACTTTCATGGGAAAATGGGCTTGAAAGCATCTAGAAGACACAGCTGTACAAGTCCTGCTTAGTCTATTTTCTCTGAGAAAATTGTGGCAAGGCATGATTAGTTAGTGTAAACAGTCAATCAAAAGTACTTAGTATTTACACTAGGTATTAAAAAGAGGTGAGGGGAAAGATGAAGCAACCTGTAGAGGTCAGCATCCAGTCTCTGATAGTGGGCACTCTGAAGAGTGATATGAGCAAGGTGAGTGGCTTTGTCTGGTTGCTGTCTGTCCACAGAGACAATGTGTTGGTATTTAATGTCATTATGTGGTTTCTCACAACCATAAATCTTCAATCTGTATCACTGAGCATTTACAATACGTGGATTACGTTCTGTGTGGAAAAAGCTGCAGTCCTTTGTTTATTTTGAACTCAGTAGTTTTGTTTAACGTCTTCAATCTCTTATATTGAAAAAGATGGTTAATAATTGCTCCCAATTTATTTTCATGCCACACAGGATTCTGTAGTGTTCTACACTCTGTCAACTATTCATTTTCTAGTGTGAAAAGTGCAGTTGTAGCTCTTTATTAAAAAGGTACTGTTCCACCTAATTTTTCATCCCTTATCAGTTTTCTGTTTCTTTTCTAGTTCTACTAAGTTCCTTACAGTATCTGAGGCACAGCTGCCCAATGGATTTATTTAGTGCTTTATAATGATTTCTGGCCTTAGCCATATCACAGTCACTCCCGGCACGTGCTTTGCCTTCTTGAAAATTTGTACCACTACTGTACTTGTGAGCTGAGAGTTTCATGCAACTATCTAGTTTGCTGCTGAATAGCTGAGATTTCGTAGTTTAATGATGGTCTGTGAGGTGGCTATGGCAGTCCCAGCAGGTGCTCTGGAAAAGGGGACAGCCTCTTTGAGGAAGAGAACTTCTAAACAAAGCTCTTGAAGGACCTCTCTTGTTGGTGTTTGGGAGAGTTAACCCCCCTAACGGTGTGGATTGTTCTCCTCTTTTTGAAATGCTTGCAATACAGATGAGATAAAATGAGTTTATCCTCTTATGTGAAAGTGTTGGCAATATTTTGATTGAAATACAAAGATGTTGAATGGTGTTGTCTGGGTATTTTCTGTTCTGGGTGTCTGTCTATAACCTCCTTAGCTGGAAAACCTTTGGGTCATCTCATCTCTCAGGAGTTGCGTACATCACTAAGTATCAGCTCTGCCTCACATTAGCATCTGTTTGGGGGAAATCTCTACTCTTC